ACGGTGCCTTGAGCTGATTGTGGGGAGAAAGGCAGCAGGTTACCATCTCAGCCCGTTGGGCCTTCAGGATACAGAGCTGGCTGTGTCCCAGGAATTCTGTCACATAGTGCTCACCACACTAGAACACACTGTGATTCTCACTGGTCCCCCTTTACAGTCCCGTGGAACTAGGGTTGAGGTCACCTCCACTTTAATGTTATTTGTTGTTGTCACAGTGATTCCGACTCAAAGCAGGAAAGGAAATCATTGCCTGGTCCCACGCCATCTTCAGGATGATTGGAATGTTTGAGTCCATTGCTGTGGCCATTGTGTTGGTCCATGTCATGGAGGGTTTCCCTTAATTTTGCTGATCTTACACTTCACCCATGAGGTTTTTCTTCCAGCAGTTGGTCTTCCTGCCTCCACTTTACAGATGTGCAAACTGAGCTGTGGAAAAGTGGCTTCCCCAAGGCCACAAAGCTTCAAATAGGGGCCCGGCTGCATGTTCTGAGAAGGCCCATGGCTCGGGCTGGCCACTCATGTCAGATTGTCACCCTGGGGTCATTGCAAGATGGACGCAGTTGCTTTGTAGTGGTGTACACCTGGCCTTGTCCCACATTCTGACTACCAATAGGGTGCTTCTGCAATGCTCTTGGGCTCAGCCATGTTCCTCCAGCTATAGTTGAGGAAGGACACCCCTCTGTTTTCTTGGGTTCCTTCCTTCATCCATTTCCAGGCCACCCACTGAGCAAGCTGCTGCCCCCAGAGTGCTCCTCTTCTGTGTGCCTTGGTCCTTTTGCCCTGTCTGCTTGCCTGGTCTCTGGGCCACAGACAACAGGGAGGCAGTGCTCACCTGGATTCAAGATGGAGCTGGGGACAGCGTGCCACTGCAGCTCTTTTGCTCTGGGGCTGCCCTTGACTGCAAAGCTGCTGCTTGTCCTTCTGTGGCTGTTTCTGAAGAGCTCCGAGTTGGCAACCTCTCACTTGGGTATGCTGTGTGAGAGTGAACTCCCGGGCATCACCATGTACCGGCTGCATGCCGATGCCTGACCCAGTGTGCGGTCACACTGCTTTACAGCAGTCTCTGACATGTGTCTACCTTAGAAGACAGGGAAAACCTGCCCCACTGGGTTAGGGGTTAGGTTTTGGGGCAAATACAATTCAATCCATAACACCTGTGTTCCCCGCAGAGTGGCTAGGCATCAGGCCACCTGCCTGCAGGGGTGGACAACTTTCTCCCACTCCCAGCCTGGGGTGCTGTGCAATGCAGCCCACTTGTGACTGAGGGCTGCCCCTACCCAGAGGGGAAGGAAGCGTGGGAGGACCCATCAGCAGCAGACAGGGTGGGGGTGCCTCACACTTCACTCTGTCAGCTCTTGTGTGCCAGCCTGACAGGGCGGTGGTCTGACAGGTGGTGGTGTGTTGTTTTCTTAGGTCCCTCAACTATTTTTCCTGCCCTGCTGTCAGAAGCCAAAAACCCTAGTAGTACAGTGAGCTAAGTATTGGGCCATTAACTTCAAGGCAAGTGGTTCAAACCCACCAGCTGCTCTGCAGAACAAAGATGAGACTTTGATAGCCTTGAAATCCTAAGTAACAGTTTTACTCTGTCCTGTTGGGTTGCTATGAGTTGGAATTGACTCAGTAGCTCTGGGTTTGGTGCATGGTTGGTTTTTCAGAGGCCAGTTTGCTTTTATCTCCACACAACCCCATCATGTTGTGGCTTAGTGGTGGAATTTGTGCCTTCCATGAGGGAGACCCAGGTTCGATTCCTGCCCAGTGCACCTTATGCACAGCTACCACCCATCTGTCAGTGGAGGGCTTGTGTGTTGCTGTGACGCTGACCAGATTTCAACAGAGCTTCCAGACTGAAATGGACTAGGAAGGGAGGCCTGGTCATCAACTTTGGAAAATCAGCCAATGAAAACCCTGTAGATCACAACATCCCTTATGCAGTGACCATAGTGTGGTGCCGGGTCCATTGTGTATGGGACCAGCTCCACCTTGGCTAAGGCCCACAGTACTCCACGGTGTGGTGCACTCAGTGTTTCCATGTTTGCTGTCTGTGTGTTTTTCCCAGTCTGGAGCCTGCCCCTTCCTGTCCTGACATCTATTTACTGCCCCCAGTATCCTTCCACCTCTGAGACTGCTTCCGGATGCACAGCCCTTCCTTGCATAACCACGTGTGCCATGCCCTTTCTTCCCTCTCTCTCCGCTCTTTCCTTCCTTTCTCCAAGGCGATGTTGGCTGCGCCAGCCCTTTGGCACCGATTCCATCATGCTCCCTGCCAGCTATTCCTGGAACGGGCTGTGCCCTTCAGAACAGGGAGTGTCACCCTGCCTGTGTTGATTTCCCCCAGCTTTCAGTTCTCATGGGTGGGGCTTAGCCCTTGCGGCTTTCTCGGACCCTCGCCAACCCACAGGCTCATAGTGCAAGATTGTTCTTCACCACAGGAGCTGGGTTAGTGGGCAGCTACCAGTGGGCCCTGTCATCACTCCACTTATCTTCCTGAAGCAGGGTCAGCTGTGCCTCTGCCCCTGGGCACTGTGCATTACACTGACTAGACCACGAGACCTTGGAGCTAGTGAGAAAGCCCATGAGCTAGCAGTGAGACTGGGTTGAGCGTCTGTGTGAACACACACAGCTGTACACAGTGGTGGCCATACCAGCCCATCTGTCTCTACTAGTGCTCGTAAGGAGGACCTTCACCTAGCACTTCTGCTTTCATGTTGTGGGCACTGTGTTAGGCACAGCCGGCCCTGGGGCCACGTCTGGGCCTGCTGCCCCCCAGATCCCAGTGGTACAGGCCTAGCATCCTGTCCTTGGAGTAGATTCTAAACCAAGCACCTGACTGCTGTTCCCTATACACAGACAGACAGACACAGACAAACACATGCAAGCACTCATACACTCCCACACACATGTTGTTGGTAAGTGCCGTCGAGTCGGTTCCAACCCACAGCGACCCTGTACAGGGTTTCCAAGGCTGTAAATCTTTACAGGAGCAGAAAGCCTCATCTTTCTCCCGCAGAGCAGCTGGTAGTTTCAAACTGCTGACCTTAAGGTTTGCAGCCCAATTCGTAACCACTACGCTACCCGAGCTCCTTCCCACACACATACAGGCATAGAAATACACGCATATACACAGCACTCGTACACACACACTAATACATACATAGAAATACAGATACTCATACACAAACACAGATACAGACACTCATATTCTCACAAGCATCATATATGTTGTTGTTGTTAAGTGCTGTTGAGCCGATTCCAACCCATAGCAACCCTGTAGAGGGTTTCCAAGGAGCAGCTGGTGAGCTTGAACTACCGACTTTGCAGTTCAAACAACTTTGCAGTCTGACGCATTAGCCCACAGCGCCACACCAGGACACCAGACTCATATATACATACGTAGAAATGCACAGATAGTTATACACAAACACACATAAACACACAGACACAAACACACATACACATACAGACATATGCACACAGACACTCACAGACACACAGATGTACACAAACACATATACAAACATATACACATATAGATACACATATATACACATAGACACTCATACAGACATACACAACACATACACATGTACATTCACATGGACACATATGCACATACTCTCAGACATGTACAGATACACCCATTTACAGACACATTCACATATGTACACACGTATACACATGGACACACATATACACACAGAAGATTACCAGTGCAAAGCAGGGACCTAGGAGAGCTTTCTGGATGACCTGAGGATGGGTGTGTGACAAAGCCTCAGGGACCAGACGGTAGAAACAGGCAGGGACTCAGGTTTCCATTTACAGCCTGAGTAGCTGAGGCCCTAAGCAAGGCACAGGTGTCTGGGCCATGGGGCTCCTGGGGCAGGCCGTGCTCTGTACCCAAGCTCAGAGCTCCTGTTACTAGACAGGGGTGGGGACGTGGAGAGGGAGGAACTGCCTCCAGCCCAGGGGATATGTGGTCTGTATAGAGACAACATATTACTGCCTTCAGCAAAGTGGAGCCCAGGACAGCTCCCACCCTCCCAGAGATTGTGTCCCGAGGGCATCACTTCTCCCAGTTGGGAAGTGAATGACAGAGAGGTTCATTCTTCACCTGGGAGTTTTTCTCACCTGTGGTCCAAGAAGACCAGTGGTCAGGGCTATGCCAGCACCTCCTTACATGGGCACACCTCCTGTGGTGACAGGTGGGGTTCCTGACCATCATTGTCTCACCACTGGCCAGGGCGCGAGCTGTGGGAGCTGGGGCAGGAATCCTAGGTGGTTCCTGTTGCCTTCAGCCTCATCGTCACACAGGGGCTTAGAGCTGCATCCCCAGCTATGCAGGCTGTGCCTTGCACTGGCCTCCAGCACCTCTTAGCTCTGTCGTTAGAAGTAGATGTATTGACAGAGGTGTTTTAGGCATTTGAGGGGGCACTGAAGCTGACCCACAAGAGGATCCCCACCTGTAGGGTGCTTGGAGCTCAGAATCCAAGACAGACTTAAGGCTGAAGACCCAGGCCCTGGGGACCGCTTCCTCCGAGGCAGGTGTCTTAGTCCAGGCCCAGCTCCCTAAGGTGGCAGGAAGGGTGTGCTGAGGGGCGGTGCTGCCAAGGTCCAGGCCCCGTGTCAGTCCAAGGGTCAGGCAGCTGGAAGAGAGGTATTCCGGGTGTGGCGGGCATTGTGGGCAGCTTGGAGCCAGCGCTTGGGTGGCCATGTGGCGGGCCCCTTTGCTGGGATGTCCTTTGTGGTTCACCATCTGAGTCTGGGCCATTGGGACTACCACTGCTCAGTCGTTGGCAGACGCCACAGCACAACTGTCCAGACTCCTGCTTCCTGTTTCCGGGAGTATTCAAACCAAAGTGGCTCTAGTGTCACTGGGTGGCCCTCCAGAACCTAAAGTAGTGACGGCAAATGAGTAAGTGCTCTTGGTCTGGGAACCTCCCGGGGCCTGAGTAGAGGTCCACCTCAGCCCCACCCAACCTGAGTTCTGTCTGTTTCTCCCACAGGGTGAGCTCGACTTGGAGAAGGGCTTGGAGATGAGAAAATGGGTCCTATCTGGAATCCTGGCGAGTGAGGAGACTTACCTTAGCCACCTGGAGGCCCTGCTGCTGGTGAGGAGCAGGGTGGAGAGGAGTCGGCAGGACTCCAGCTGTAGGACGCTCAGATAATTCCAACTCCTAAAGTCAGTTCCCTTCAAGGGACCGTGGAGACTCACGATAGACTCACTGCCAAATCAAGCTGCTTCTAAAGTGTTCATTTTAATGGGGTTTTAAATAGAAGCACATATGCCACACCACCATGATCTGTAGCTGTACCATGTGCCTCTGGGCAGTGGCTGTCTATGTGGGAAGCCCAGGTTCGATTCACAGCCAGTACGCTTCATGTGCTGCCGCCCCCCATCTGTCAGTGGAGGCTTATGTGTTATTGCTATGGTGCTGAATAGGTTTTAGCAGAGCCTCCAGATTAAGGAGAGGAAGAAGGCTTAGAAATCTGAAAATTAACAGTAGTAACCGTGTGAATCACAAAAGTCCAGTCTATACCGATTATGGGGATGACTCAGGAACCAATAGTGTTTAATTCTGTTGTGCATGTGGCCAGTATGAGTCAGGGATAGACTGTAGGACAGCTAACAATAGCCACAAATCATGCATCTGGCAAAATGGCCAAATGTCTCACCTGTACCCCCTCAACTATGCTCTACTTCCTAGGCCAACTCACCTGTGCTCTCTCACTTGGACCCCTTCACTTGGGCCTTCCTCACTTGTGCCCACTCACCTGTGCTTTCTTACCTGGGCCCCTTCATATGGACTGCTTTCACTCTTTCCATCTTCCCTGGACCCCCCTCACTGGTGTCTTCTTCCAGCCCATGAAGCCATTGAAAGCCGCGGCCACCACCTCTCAACCAGTGCTGACAAGTCAGCAGATCGAAACCATCTTCTTTAAAGTGCCAGAGCTCTACGAGATCCACAAGGACTTCTATGATGGGCTCCTCCCTCGTGTGCAGCAGTGGGGTCACCAGCAGCGCGTCGGCGACCTCTTCCAGAAGCTGGTGAGGTTGGGGGCCGAGGGTGTGTCGGGAGGGGGAGTAGGGAGGGAGAGGCCTGAGTGTCTTGGGGGTCATCCCTGGCCCTGTTCAACTTTACTCAGAGTTCCCAGTCTCCACAGAGACCCAGCTGCACCTCCCGATGGAGACTTGGGCCAGAGGAAACTGGGCGGGCACAGGTGGAGGCAAAATGCAAGTTAGGTATTTCACTAAGCCTCCCACGTAGCCATGATGTATGACATCGGCTTCTGAGGCTCAGTTGGCATTGGGCACCAGGTGGTTCCTCTTGGTCAGAACGAACCCCACTTACTAGCTTTAGGTGTGGGTCTGGTGCGCAGAAACCAAGACTAAAGGCTCAATTGTTTGCAGCAAGAGGCCATGCCTCATTAGGCCTTCAGTCTGGCCTATGGCTCACACCAGGTCTGCTCTGGTGTGCCTTTCCCTGTGTGCACTACCTTTTCTTTTCTAAGTGATAATTAATTTGATTCATGATACTCATATATCTCCATGGAGATCTACAAGGAGCCTTGGCAGTGCTGCTTACCTAATGGTTAAGAGTCTGACCCTCCAACTGCTTCCCAGAAGAAAGATGAGGCAGTCTGCCCTGTAAAGATTGACAGTCTCAGAAATTTTGTGGACCAGTTCTACTCTGCTAGTTAGGGTCTATGTGGATTGGTATCAAATTGATGGCAGTGGGTTTGATTTGGTTTATATCATACTCTATACAGTCCTGGTGGTGCTGTGGGTTAGGCAGGCATTGGACTGCTAACTGAAAGGTGGTTATTAGGTGCCTTATGGTCAGCTTTGACTCATAGCAACCATTTGTTGTTGTTGTTGCTGTTAAGTGCCATTGAGTTGGTTCTGACTCATAGCAACCCTGTATACGGTTTCTGTGGAGCAGCTGGTGAGCTTGATCCACTGACTTTGCGGTTCAAACCGACTTTGCAGTCCAGCATATTAACCCACAGCGCCACATCAGGACTCTACACAGCAACCCTAGGCCAACAAAATTAACTTACTTCCCGGTCCTGCACCATCCTTACAATTGTTATGTTTCAGTCCATTGTTGCTGCTGTGTGTCAGTCCATCTTGTTGGAGGTATTCCTCTTTTTTGCTGACCCACCACATCATGCTTGGTAAAGTGGAGGGTCAGTAAAAAAGAGGAAGACTTCAACAAGATGTCAGCTTTCTCCAGGGACTACAACCTCTAGATAAAATGTCCGAAGTATGAGAGATGAAGTCTCACCACCCTCACTTCTAAGGTGCATTCTGGATGCACTTCTACCAAGACAGATTTTTTTTGTTCTTCTAGCAGTCCGTGGTACTTTCCATATTCTTTTCCAACACTGTAATTTAGATGCATCCATCCTTTCTTACTTTTTCATTGTCTAACTGTCACATTCATGTGAGGTGATTGAAAATACTATGGCTTGGATCAGGAGCACGTTAGTCCTCAAATTGACATCTTTGCTCTAACACTTTAATGCAGTCTTGTGCAGCAGATTTGCCTAATGCAATATGTGGTTTGATTTCTCGGCTGTTGCTTCCATGAGTGTGTGTTGATTGTGAATCCAAGCAAATTGAAGTCTTTGACTTCTATCTTTTCTGTATTTATAGTGATATTATTTATTGGTCCAGTAGTGAAGATTTTTGTGTTCTTTACATTGAGGTACAGCCCTTACTGAAGGCTGTGATCCTGGAGCATCATCAGTAAGTATTTCAAGTCCTCTGATTCCAGCAAGCAAGGTTGTGTTATCTGCATATCGCAGGCTGTTAATGAGTCCTCCTCCAATAATTTTTATTGTGAATTGAGTGAAGGTTTACAGATTAGATCATCAGTTTTACATTCAACAAATCATTCACCATTTCATCTTAATGATTGCAACCTCCTCCATGCAACAACAGTTATCCCACTTCCTCCCTGTGGTCCCTGTTTTCATTCTAACTACCTGCCCATTCCTTCTCAACTTTGTCCTTAGGAAAATGTTATTCTTTTGCTTTTGAATTATTGACCATTCTATGGTGAGCATACCTTAGTAGTGTTGTTGTCGTTTGTATACCTGTCTACTTCTTGGCCAAAAATTGGGCCATGGGGGTGAGTTCGTTTCCAGATCTGAAAGGGTGGTCGAGGACCATAGTCTAAGATTACTACTCCAGTCTCTTTCAGACTAGTAAACCCAGTCTTTTTTTTTTTTA